TAAACATTTCATAGCAAAATATTTAAACCTATAATTCATATATGTAAATAAATTCATTAGATATATTAATTATTATAGCTACAGAATCATCACAACTTATCTCCAATTGATATTAACATATATTAAAAATTAAATCGAATTTTCTTATATGTAAATTATGATTTTACCCCATAAAGTATAATTATTCTCAAAATAATAGCTATACTCAAACTTGGGTGTACCAAAAAGAGTCAAGAATGACTGATGCATCCACCCAAAAGAAATTTGAATAAAATGCAATTATGACAGTACCAGTGTTCAAAATTACTTAAACGATCGATAAAGATCACAGTTACGCGTTCGTAAAAAAGAGAATAAAAAAAGAAAAGGAAAATATGGTACTCTTTATGCGTGGTTTACGAGCATTCTTAAGAAATTTAAGCGTGCAAGTGACGAGAACAAATATTGAGTCCCGGTTACATGAAACGAAATGCCGTGCATCGTCTTTTCGTTAGGTGTGAAAGGAGGAAGTAACGACATGGTCGGCGCACACGGAATTTCGCGGACGAGCATCTCTTCCGAGAAACCATTACGGACCCTTAAAACGCCTTTCAAAATATTTGGGAAAATGATTGTCGTCTATCTTTAAGAGGGTCCTGCCAACAATTTGCGTCGTCGCGACAGAACTCGCGTTTCTCTCGTTTCGTGCATCGATTAACACTGAAACCACCAAAATTACCCATCTCAAAATTTTTCATTTCGCAATACCTAAAAATATCAATCTTACATTGGCAAAACTAATTTCGACCTTCGTCGAAACTGAAAATATATCTACATATATACTACTATTTTCGTGATTCCACCTTAATAATTATTATAAATATATAATTCAAGGCTGATCACTCAAACATTATACAATAATAAGACATTATGCAATCTTCGAGAAGAGAAAAATAATTTCGGAAAAATTAGCAAATTTAATAATAAAGAATAGAGAATTTTCACAGAGTTCTACATTTGAAAAACAAACGAGGAAAGTAGGTATACAAAAATTTTTGGAAAAATTATCTAATCAGTAATAATCCAAATCTGTCATATTTTGACATTTAACCGTTTGCACTCGAGAGGCTCCTCTCATAATCAGTCGCCATTTAATCAGATTCTAAAGATGGATGTTAATTAACATATCAAATTTACAATTACCCAATAATGCGGGGAATATCGAAATAAAATAAAATAATTATTCGATCTAAAATAAAATAATTCTACGTCTTAATTTGCATACAGTTTCTTATTTACCGTTTTAGAAATATCGTCGACCTTATGGCAGGAGGTCTTCGAATTATTATGTTCCTGTAACGAAAAAATCGCCGAATGCAAAGGGTTAATAGTCTGACAAGGAAAGTATATACTAAGGAATTTAATTTTCAATGAAAATGAAATGAAAATCGTATGAGTACTTTACTCGGTCATTACTGACTCATCAAAATGGCCGAATTGGTTGGAAAATCGCACCGTCTGAACCAGCCATTATCGTCCAAATTGTACCAGGAGTGGTTGAATCACTCGGTCGACAGATTTCCCGAACGAAACTGTTACATCATTTGTGCAAAAGCTCGGTGAAACAGCCGAATGGACGATCGCCCTACCGATACGGACTTTACTTTTGCGTTTGATGCACGCTGTGCCACGTAATTGAAACGATCAATCAAACACCTGAGAAAAGGAGGGTGTACTAACGCCCGTACAAATTGCCGTGGAACGCTTTCACACACGGAGAGTTTATCGATGCCACACCCTGGCTGCAAACCAGCGATTCTGGAAGATATAATACATTTCGTTAGACTTTCTTACTCGACGGAATACCCGCAGATTCGTTTCTACATAAGATTCTGTTTTAAGAAATTTGAAGTTAGTTGTCAATGATAACCCAATCTAATGTAAACCAGAAATTTCGGAAGATATAATACATTTCATAAGCTTTAGTTACTAACAATATTTTTAGATTCGTTATTAACTAAGGTTATAGAAGACCTAACCTAACCTAAACCAAAGATTTCGGAAGATATAATACATTTCATAAGCCCTTGTTATTGGAAATATTTTTAGATTCGTTATTAACTAAGATCCTACCTCATGAAATTTGAGGTTAGTTACCAGTGACAATCCAAATTAAACCTGAACCAGTAATTTTGGAAAATTTAATAGATTTTGTCAAACTTTGTCGTTCGAAATATTTGTAGAATCATTTTTACCTAAGGTTCTACCTCACAAGATTTGAAGTTAGTTGCCAGTGACAACCCAAACCTAACCTAAACCAGCGATTCTACAAAATTTAATAAATTTCGTCAAAGTTTGTTACTCTAGACATTTTTAGATTCGTTACTATCTAAGATTCTATCCAATACATTTGAGGTTAGCTATTAATGATAACCCAAACCTAACCTTTATCAGAGATTTTAGAAGATATAATAAATTTTGGAAAACTTTGTCACTCGAAATATTTTTAGATTTACTTTCGCTTAAGATTCTACCTTACGAAATTTGAGGTTAGTTACCACTGACAATCCAAACCTAACCTAAACCAACGATTCTGGAAGATATAATACATTTCATTAAATTTCGTTACTCGAAATATTTATAGATTCGTTTTCACCTAAGATTCTACTTTTGGAATTTGAGGTTAGTTACCGGTGATAACCGAAACCTAACCTAAATTAGCGATTCTGAAAGATACAAAACATTTCGTAAAACTGTGTTACTCCAAATATTTTTGATTCGTGTCTACCTAAGATTTCATCTCGCGAGGTTTGAGATTAGTTAAAAGTGAAGATGTCTCATGACAAAGATGATCTGTTTAGCCTGAACTCTGAAGATCGTTGTAGATCGGAGACAAGGAAATGGTTTCTTTTAAAACTGGCCGATTAATTTTCAGTAACCTCCATGTATAACTGGTCGCTATTGCTATGGACACAGATATAGCCACTCTCGCGAGATATTAGACAGGTGAGCGAGTTCCCAGGGGAACAAAGCCCCCATTACCTCATCTCGCCGACCCATCCGAGCCATCCCGACAAACCCTCCGCTCCTAAAACATTCATAAGAGCGGTGTAAGTGGTTTTTAATAAACGTATTTAATCATAGGTGTCGGATTACGTGTAAATCGGCTGGTAGTGTCATCGACCGATGTGGGATTAGACATGTGCCCAAATGTACATACGGGGTGACAAGGAAAAGGGTACGAGATGCTAAGGGCTTGTAGTATTCATAGACAAAACTCAAAAAAGTCTAATCAATATAAAATACAGAAAGAATCTCCTCCATCTTTTCCAATTTTTATTATTTTACTGTAGACAATTCTTTTTTAATTTTTATTTTATTTACGTGAAATTTTTATGCAATAGATTGAACATGAGATATTGGTTAGGTTAGAAAAACATTAGTTTAGAAATATGTTAGTTTAGGGTTATCAATGCAATTATTATTAATATCGATAAAAATTGATACATATGCAGATGCAAATGTAAGTGTACATTTTCATATTTGGAGACCTATGAAATAATTTCCGTTCATTTTAATACAAAATTCACATATATAGATCATATACCGAGATTTTTAGTTCCATATTGTAATAAAAGTTGCTATTGCATCGATAGGATTGCTTTTACATCCTGTGATTAGGTTCCTATACCTCTTTCGACCATTATAAAAATTTTTGGGAATTTATCATTATCACTTTCGAGTGTTAATTAACCAGCCATATTCTTCTAAAAGAACTTGTGTCACATAAAATTATTGGTCTCCTGATTTTTATTTGATTTGATTTGATTCGAAGGAAAATTGAATCCTCATTTAATTTGAAGGAAAATTGAATCGTTATTTGATTTGAAGGAAAAGTGAACTTCGTGCTTACATTAAGCTAGAAGAGAAGAAGAAAATAATTTCTAAAATTTAATTTATCTCACTCCATGTATAATTTTTCGTTGGAATATTAAACATTACGAAGCCTAAACTATTCATGAGCGTAATATCTGGAAAATCGGAGCAAGTCTCATTAAAAACTAACTGTTATTCCGATTAGGGAAGTTTGTCAACGCTCTTTAAACAAACATACGGTTAAAGCAATTATTTCTAGCAGTTGAACGTGTTTTCAGGAGCGTGTTTCCGTTTTGTCAGTCTTCCCTGTACCATTGTAAAACGCGACGATATTCTGTTTGCACAGATACTCGTGAATGTTATCATAAATGTGTCCGTTCAGGGGTGTTCGATTTATCGTGATCTTCGTCTGGATTTTTCCGAGCACTTATGTAAATTCCGTGGAACAATGTTTCGATGATGGTAATGAGTTTTGTATCGACGAGGACGACATACTTTCAGTGGATCTTTTACCGGGGACCTTTTTGTTTGCGGATCAACAAGTAAGCGATAACACAACGAAAGATTCTGAGAGTGAAGTGGTAGATGGATCCATTTACAAAGCGCTAAGTGAAATGGAATATCACAGGTAAGTCTGTGGACGATAAGAAATGCTTTGTGTTAGTGTACTTTGTTTATATATATAATTTTTTTAAATTATTGTTAATAATATTAATATCTGTGATAATTGTTCGTAAGTTAGTTTCGTTGAAATGATAATTATTTTGTTTAGTTAGTATTTTCTGTGATCAGTTGACAATATTAGTATTTTCAAATATAATTAATGATATTAATATATTTAATTATGGATCATAAGTTAGTTTTATTGAAACAATTTTTATTTTGTTTGGTTAATATTCGCAATTATTAATTAATAATATCAGTATTCATAATTGTAGTTAATAGTATTAATATCTTTAATTAAAGTTCATAAGTTAGTTTTAAAATAAATAATTGTTTGATTAATATCCGCAGTGATTGCTGATAATATTAGAATTTTTAATTGTAGTTAAAAATAGTAATATCTTTAGTTACAGTTATTAAATATTTTTTATTATTATTAATAATATTAAGATTTTTAATTATAATTGATGATATGAATACTTTTCATTATGTATTAAATGTATTTATATGTGAATTATTCTACATATCAATGAGTTCATTTAGAATAACATATAATTACTTCTTTAATTAACCACTTCTAAATACTGTAAAGTATTATAGCCATATTTATAAAGTAAATTTATAATGTAAATACTTAGTTTCAAAGTGATCGACAAATGTATTAGTTTATCGAATATTAATAACATGTAAAATTTACGTTTAATGATATATCATGCTAGGAAAAAGATGAATGAATACTTGTGTCACGGTTACATGGCTGAGGAAATAGTAAAAGTAATGAAGTCACCTAGAACTAAAAGAAGACTCGATATGACAGAACAGGGTGATACGTATGATTTAATGGACAACGATAATGTCACTGTTCACGACAAATTGTTGGCGGACGAAGGTAGTTCAAAATACAAAAACTGGCTACAAAGGTAAATATTACTAAAAGTAATCACTAATTCTAAATCAACGAGGAAACTCTTTTCCAATTACTTATGCATAGAATTTACACAAAAATTTAAATTATTAATTCGTGAAAAGCTGTCATAAATATGACCTTAATTTTATTTTTCTTGCTATTTTTATAGTAAAGCATATAGGAAAATTTATATACAAATAGTGTTACAGACGGTGTTAATAAATACCTATTGAATTAGTACTGCCAGTGGTTAAATTTTTCAAAATTTTCTCACGCCAAAAATATTTGGAATTTCGTCCATGATAGCCTTTGGGAATTCAGGACCATTTTAAAGAATGTTAAAGAAAGGCCATTTTTGGCATCGCCTGGAAATGAAAAATTCCATCAGGACTTCCAAGGGCATCTTATAAGGAACAAAAAGTTCTTTTATTACTTTGTCGAGAAATGATGGAAAAGTCGTGAATATATGAAAATTAGAATTAAAGTCAAAATATTTGAAAATTAGACTGACTAAATATAGGGTGTCCCAGAAATGGTAGTATAACCGGAAAGGAGGTAATTCTACATGAAGAAACAAATCAAAAATAAAGAATAAAATTTTTTCATTTCAAATTTCGTTGGTGATAAAATCAATTTTGAACAAATTTGACAACTTGACAATTTTTCCATCGTTTCTCAACAAAGTGAATTTTTATTCCTTGGAAGATGCTCTTAGTAAACCTGAAGAAACTTTTCATTTCCAAGGGATGTTAAAAATGGCCCTTTTCTAACATCCTCCTTGAGTAAAATTATAAGTCGAAAGTGTATATTTTTACATAGAAGGACAACCTTGGACGACGTGTATCGACATTATATCCCACAAAAGAAAATGAAAAAGAAGCTCGGTGTTCACAACGAAAATTTCGATGAATTCGATGGTGAGGTTACTGGCTACGCGATGCAAGCCCCTTTACCTTCCGGTAAAGTAGGTCTCTATGGAGAACATAACGAAGACGAGGGTAACGAATCCTAACCTCTCTACAATGCCAAAACAGTAGTGATAATTAAGTTACATGGATGATCCAAAAGATTTATGATTATATTTAATAGCAACTATCATTGAATTTTTTAAAATTCTACCTTTGACAGATCACATGCTTTCATCCTCTTCGGGACACAATATTTATTATGGTCCTGCCTACGTCCCTGCTTACGGTCACGGCGGTGAGCATTATGTCCATCATACTGAAACCTTTCCCGCTGTACACGAGGAACACTACTACACTGCCCCTATCTATCATGATCAGGAAGAAGATTACTATAAACCTTCCTACAAAGGAAAGGGAAATGATCTATCGATAAAGGACTTCTTTGAGATTGCTCTCACTGCTCTGGCGTTTCTAGCCTTTGGGTTATTCATTATACAATTGCTAATGAATGCCACGGTAAACATTTACATTTTAAATATAACGAATTATGTTACCCATTGTTAATTTTTCATATTTTTAATATTTCATTTGATCTAGACCAACATGAATACCACCATGGCGACAGTGACTACGGTTAGACGCGTGAAGAGAAATACCGATGGATTACCTTTATCATATGCTAGCCACGAAGATTTGAACGAGTTGTCTTACAGTGTCCTAAGAAGTATAGAGGCCGCTCTTGTCGCTGACATGGATTCCGGTAACTGTATTCGCAGAGTCCTTTGCGAAAATAATCAACGCTCTACACAGATTAAAGATGCACGTAAAATTTGGGTACCTGTTTGGAGGTAAGATACAAAAACACTCCTAATTTTCACTAATATTTTAAACTGCTAAATTAATATTCAGTGCAAAATTTTGATCAATAAATTCTTTGAAAGCTTCAGTAAATAAAATCACGTTCAGTAAGTCATACAAATAAGTAATAAAAATTAGTAAAAGCTGTTGTGGAGTGACTGGAAGCTGATAAAAATAATAATTAATTAATTAAAATTACTTCACGTAACACTGTGTAAAGAAATATATGGAGAAATGTTTGAAATTATACGTAATATTTTGAAAAATTATTTTAAATATCTAGAGATAATAAGGTTATATGTGAATATAAGTATGGATAAGTACGGAATCAATCTTTCCAGTTTAGGAATGAGTTGGGTATCTGGCAGGATGTTAAAGAAATCTCCGTGGTCGGCAATGTTGGATTCTGTAAAAGCTTCTATTCTCGGCCTGGGTGGCGCTGACTGTTCTCTCTTGTATCCTGACTGCGATCTGAAGAAGGAAAGAAGCAAGAGACGTAGAAGACGTAGAAAGTAACTTTGCTGTTGCTTGTGTTCTGTATCGTTGCATCGTTTTAAATCACGTAATATTCGAATTTATTATAACAATAATATATCATTGCGTACTAAGTATTATTCAAGTTAACGTTACTTACACACGATTTTACTGTAGCAGTTTTTAACGATAAATGGTACAAGGGAATCACTGCGTTTCATTAGAGTCAGTGCTTTTTACTGTGTGAATCGATTGGGTGTCACGTGGAATTGGTAAAAGTGAGGCGTATGTCGATCCCGATGGACAAACGTGGAAAACGCTTCTTTGATGTTTCCCTTTCAGTGGACGTATATTGGTTAAAATAGGCACACCTTTTTCGTCTTTCATAGTGCGAAACTCTGCAAGCTTGGAAAATACGATATATTAAAATTGGTAAAACGGTATTAGACAAGATCTGATGGTTGAATCTACTATATTTTACATTCCTCATTCTGAACTCTCCTCTTACTGAAATTTATGGTAAATTAAAATAACAGATTACAACATATGGTAACATTGGTTATCTCACAGGATAATACCACTCTTTTTCTATAATAAGTTCATGCTTAACCTATTGATAAATTTAATACTTTATTAAATCCACAATTTCTAATTATTATATATTATTACGAGGAAAACAAATTTTAAGAATAAACATGTTTCTAAAAATTTGCGAATAAAGATAATTCGAAATAAAAATTTCAAGAATTAAGAATTGTAAAATATTAATATCGATTTACTTGCATAATGCTAATTCCAATTGGTTCTCTGCAGATTATCCAGAGAATACTGTGCACATTTTGCGTTGTTGTTATGGCTCCCCAGTATAGGAAATAGTCTGCTGAGAATGCTGGCAGGAGGTCCGTTAGTTTGAAAGGGTTTATGCGAATTGACGAATGCGCTGTACGAATTGTGGGCAAGTTTTTCACGATTTCTTCCATGAATGGATTCGATTCATTCTGTAACTGAGAATCGTGATGCTTCGTTGATTACGTATTACACATTTTTATGTTTTATTTAATGTAATCATTTGAATGTATCACCTTACAAAAATACACCAATACGATTACACCGTTAGGTCGCTTAAGTGCCGATTCTAACGTTTCATATTCCTCCTTGAAATGCACGACATGGATTTCCATAGGCATACTTTGAATAAAATTTCGAAAATATTAATATATTTCCCGTATTTCGATTAAAATTATTATGTATCAATGGATCTTTTGAAATAAATTAAGCGGTATAATTTCTTAAATTGGTATTATAAAATATCGTGTCATCACAGTATAAACAAAATATTTATTGCGACTTTTCCAAGTGAATTTATTTACGTGCTTGAATGAAGATTTATGGGAAAAATTTACTATAAAATTCAGTTTGTTTCTTAGATTTTCAAATTAAATTTTTTTGATTTTTATACATTTCATTAGAAACGGAAAATATTCGTAAAAAATGCATAGGGTGGTCTAACAAATAAATATTATTTATAAAAATTGATGTAATAAATTATATTATTGATTATTGAAAGGATAAACCCACTTGCATATTTTTCGATATATTATTAACAAATTTAAGTAACTCCCAATAAAAAATTAAATTGCATTGAAAATTATGCAAAGAATAAATAATTTTGGTTTAAAGTAAATAAAACTATTAAACTATTATCTAACTTTTAAACTAATAAAACTATTATTATTTCTGTTTTTGAAAATTCATTTATCATTCTAAATAACATTTTTGGTATACCAAACAAATTTATATTAGTTTTTTAAAAATTAAATGTAAATTTTCAATTAGAAGAGGAGAATTTATAAATGTATAAATAAAATATAGATAAAATTTCTAAATATCTTCTCAAACTCTTGTTGTCAATTCACCAATTCTTTAATCCGAGTTAATTCTTTAACTTCAATTATTTTAATATTCGTTCATATTATTGTAATATATTATATACATAAAGTAAGAAAAAATAATAACAAATTAACAAGACAAGTTAAAAATGTAAAACACGTTATGACAACTTAAAATACGTTTAAACCTTGCACCATCAATAGTATGATCACTGCCATTCATTTCGTTCTTTCCCCAATGGAAATGAATTTGTCCAAATATATATCTCCCTTGAAATGGTCCTCCAGTAAGACATGGACGCTCGTCCTGCCATTTTGCGCTAACAATTACTACGATAAAATACAATTAACACCAATGCCATATGAACCATATGAGCAATAAATTATTATCAATATTCCCAACAGATCGATACCTGTGAAACCTGTGTTGGTCACTTTCAGTTTCCTCGGTGGCACATCCATGCCAATCCATTTCAACGGATCCAGTTCAATGACATTCATACGAGCAATGTCCAGATCAATGGGAGACCCCAAGGTACCGTCGGTTTCTAGTAAGGTTTGAATATGCAAAGCATTTTGTTCGTTGGCTGCAATCTGTTCTATGCAAGTACATGGTGAACGTAAACGATTGATCGAACGAACCACAGCAAACTGGATAAGTCTCCTGTTCAAGATTAATTCACGTAGAATACATTAAATCTCGCTTACCTGTCGAGTTCATTTCTAATTTAGATGAAGTTGGGCCTAAATGACTGGACTTCGATTCCTCTACCATCGAAACAGCCTCTACCTCTATACCAAGTTCAGGTGATTCGAGAAAGGACAAAATCCCATGATACTCACGCTCCGAATAATTCTTCTAGATACATGGACTACGCCAGAAAAATTGGTAAATCGGATGAGCCGAAGAAATGGGTGAGGCAATTCACGACGACCGTGTCAGTGCGCGATGGACTCGTGCACCCTAGCGCGTACCACCCTAAAGACCGCCGTCTGGAGAATTGGCAGAGGTGGTTGGACATACGAAAGGCCCAATACCGTCGTATCGAGTCGATGACGGGTCGCCAACCAGCTGACCAAGTGATGAACTCCTGCGAGAAGGTGCGACCGTTGGTCGAGATGAGGAATCTGATAGACTATGCATCAGTGCCTGTGCCTGTCCTCCCTGACAAGTATCGAGGTGGACCAGAGTTCTGGAGAACCCCGCAGAAGCTACCCAATCGCGGTGATCCCTGCTTGCCAGACATCTCATTCACGCCGAGCAAGAAAGAACTAAACGTAATCCCGGAATTGACTTACGTCGGTCTGCCTGATCTGATAGAAAAAGAGAAGCATCTGGTTGGCTTGAGATCAAAGGAACCACTGTGGAAACGTAGCGGGTATTTGACGAGCAGGAGGCAGGAATTGAGGAAAGAAATAACGACTCTCGTGGCAAAGGAGCCAGACATGGAGGACCTGGTGATCAAGAACTACGTCCCACCGAAGAGAGAAGTGCAACCAAGGATTCCTCCGATAACAATTTCAGACGCAGATGAGGAGATAGGAGAGGAGGAGGGAGGAGAAGGGAAAATAAAATACAAATCCTGTTGCGAATGCTACCCAGAGCAGTCGATCGTGCTGAAGATTCAAGACCTCGAAATAGTTTGGCAGAGACCTGCTTCGAGGAACGTAGAAGCCAAGTCGGATCCTATTGTATGGAGTTTGGTTTTCTCTGGTAAGGTTAACGAGAGAGCAGAGAAGGAGATCGTGTTCGAGAATAAAGGAAATCGCGTGATCATTTACCAATGGAGGCAAACAACCTTTCCATCCCAAGTGACTCCTGTCAGCAGGCGGATCAGTCCCTTTTTCTTTAACAAGACGAAAGGAGTGATTCTCCCGGGGCAGATCTCGAAGCTGAAGATATGGTATCGACCTCGAAATCCGCACATGTCCACAGAATTTTGGAAACTCGTCACTAGCCCTGTGCTGTGCTCCTCGCCCCTGGTGTTCCGATTCTGGGGTTGCGCTGCACCCTCGACCGCTCAGACAGGGAAGCCTAATCAGGAGCAAATGGTGGATGAGTATTTGAACCGTTGCATCAGGAACACCGCGATTCGACAGATAATCGACGATATCATCGAAAGGTTTAGCACTGTTAAGCATCCGAATCCTCCGTACAGTAGCCTGTTCTTGGAGCCAGATCTCTTCATCGCGAAGAATCCAATGTGTCATTACAGTCCAAACATCTTGATAGAGCTACATAAGCTTTATTTCACCGTGACCAATCAAACGGAACGTCGTTGGAGCATGCTGTTGGACGAAATTCGAGACGGTTTGTTGAAAATTAAGGACTCCGAGAAGAGAAACAACCTGTTTTCGCGTTTCGTTGAACTGTATAAGGAAAGTCTGAAACCTACTTGGTACAGGGCTGTGCAGTATGATAAATACGAAGTGGTGTATAATTTATTATGCGCGTTTTTCAATCGGTTTGAAATCGAGAACGAGTTCGCGATGAAAGCCTACTTCGTGAAGGAGTACGAGGACACACCTGGCATGGCTTCAGAGATGAGTTATACTATGCTGGGCGACCCGTCTCAGGTGTCTATACGGAGTAATAGTTCTCGAAATAGGCAAACAAAATCGGGTAATACGCATTTGCAAAGGAATTTAAGTCATGTAGTCAGCGAATCATCTATACACCCCAAAAATGTTCGTCTTTATGGAGAAATTTTCTTTATTCGTATTTATAAATTATTGGGAGAAACATTGGTTGGTATATTCGGGTCCATAGAGTCGTTTAATAATTTGAATGAACCCCATGGATAGTATGTTTGTAGATATGAGTGAACAATCAGACTCTGTGTTATATAAAATTGTGAGATTTATGGTAATTTTTTGGTATTAAATAGGACCTAATTATTTTTGTAGTTAATTAAGGATCCATTTGTAATTAATTTGCGATACTGTGATGATTATCGAATGTTAGATTTATTTTTTCAAGTTATTTAGTGATATTGGTTGTTAAGATAGCATGTATCATAGTTGACACTTCAGCTGTGAATCGTGTCTGTCGAGTCTTGAACCCCAATGTGCGACAGTCATGAGGTCGACAAATGCAATTGCATTTCCTGACCATAGCCTTTCAGGTCCAGATTATAAATCACCATCGCATCTATCAAGATACCTTTGGCAAAGGTCCTTGCCATAGAAAGGCCTTCGCGTGAATGGCCTTTGACCACTCCTAACTTCTTCGAAAGCTACCCTCGAAATACAGAAACTGTTAATCTTTGTATTTGTGCTAAACCAATGACTCTCGATCTGTAATTAGAGTACCATCGATGATGCATTGAATATTTGTGTGTAGTATGAATTGTATCAAACGTGAAAATTATGTGTATAATTATGTGTAGTAGTATTCATGTGTACGTACGAAGACATTATTTACAACATGGTATTTGATTAGGGTTAATACTGGAATAATAAATAACAAAATATATATTACTGTATAATGTATAATTATATTATATTATATTGATATTTATTTTATATATAAATATAGTATTAATGTAATGCATAATGCATGCAAGAATTAGAAATGTTATTAAATAAATTGCTGTATATTTGACCAAACATGCGTTACAATAAAATTGACAAAACGTGACTGGAAAATATTTTACGGTGGATATGAATTTATGAGACTGCCAGATATATTTGTCTACATTTGAGTAACTGTATTTCCCGCCAATTTGATTTTATGTACTGTCCAGACCTGTCTCTCAGTTTTCGAAATTCGTTCAGCTGTGGACGAGTATTAATTAGTATTAGTTTCTGTAATAATAGTGTTATTGCAACTTACTTCACTGGGTCGTATGGGTATTACCACGGGGAATACTATCCAAGTCATGCATTCTGGATATTCACCTGCATTGTATGATCCTGCGTAAGTATAGTATCTCGTACAATACGTCGCCCAACGCATCCACGATAAACAATCTGAAATAAACATAAAAATTACAATTTATTATATGTAATGATGTGTACAACAAATTAATAATCAGAAAATGAAAACGTCATTTAGAAATATTTAAAAATAACATTATCCTTTATAATAATTAGTGTAAATAATGCATCCATTCATTTGATTTAATATTGATTTATTTTAGATCCTTTTATTTTTTCTGGTTACTGAAAGTGTGTAATTATCAAATAATCATAATCTGTTAAATTTTATTTATTTATCTATTTTCAATAATTTCGTAATTGTTAAATATATTTTATGATATTATTGTATAAATCATTGTATATTATATTTATTAATTTTGTTAATTATATTTCAAATAATATGACACACAATTCCTTAATTATTCTAATTATCTAGAATATCTTCTGCTTATTATTACAACAATATTGAAGCTACTTACTAGCTGGTATTTTCGTTTCCATATCTGGATCTGGAATATGCTTCAAGTATTCCGTTATCCTTTCCAATTGTGGATTAATGCAATCGCAACAAGCTGGTTGTACCTTTCTCAAAATTATGCAAAATTTGTACTTCTCATAAGAAATATTGGAAAAAAGGTCTTAACCATAAAAATAATCAAAACATCAAAGATTCGTACTAAAAATAAATACGCCAAACAGCATAGACCATCTTTGTGTCTGAAACATTCTTCCATAGTTATATATTTTCTATTCCAATGTACCGCGTGACCCTCCATTGAGTACCTTGATAACACAGAATACGATATAGCAATTAAGAACACGAATGTGGAAATTTCCTGTCTTTCTTTTTACCAAGTATCATTGATAGTGTGTTCAGCACCCTTGCAATTATCTTCGCCCCAGTGAAAATGCACGTTTGAAAATTCGTACACGTCGTCCGAAAGTGGTCCACCACAAATTGTGGATGGGATCCTGTTTCCACCTAAGGAAACTTTCGCTGAATATTTAAAAGTGTGTGAGAATTTGAAGTATTTAAAAATACTATATATTATAATTCTTCTGAATAAATAATAATAATAATAAGTAATACTATAATATTAACACTACAATAATAATATAGTAAATAATAAATAATTAATAATGCTAATTTTATAACAATAACATACTCAATGATAAAAGATAATACTTCTATAATAACATATAATCAATAATAAATACATTAATTCTGTAATAATAATGTAATAAATAATGTTAATAATATTATAATAATACCAGTGAGATAGTAACTATTGATGTCGATAATTTTTTCCTCAATATATAAATATAAATTAAATTAAATATCTATAAATTATCTATATTATCTATAAATATTATTGTCTATAAATTAAAGATATGACTGAACTAGTTAATTTTACATAATATTGAATTTAATATCAAAGAATTTCGTCAATCTCTCGGATAAAAATTAAAAACAAAATTATAAAGGATAAGTCGAAATATATGGATTACTATAATAAATTAAAAAATTATTTTTATATTAATAAATTAGAATAAATTTATTTAAAAAAGTAAATTAAAGATAAATAAATTCTCGTTTATAGATGATCTGTTTTCTTGTTAAAATTTCAGGTGATAATTATTCGATTCGGTGGATAAGAAAATCGTCGTATTTCGTTAATCACCTGTAATACCCGTATTGCATAATCGTGCTTCTCCGTCGTTCAACCAGTGACCATTTAAAACAAGTGGAGTATATCTGCGTTTCCGTACTATGTTATCGTCTAGATTAATTGGAGATTGACCAGTCGTTGGTAAGCCTCGAAGAAAAATTAAATTTTTAAATAGAAATTTTTGTATTTTATTTATACGTGACACATAACCTAGTGAATCGTTAAAGGCTTATCTCTGTACCAATTAAACCAGTATATTCTGACATCGTTGCAAGGTAAATCGAAACTTGTAAGGAGTTATGATACTTTAGTTCAAAACATATCTGAAAGTTTACTTTTGCTTTAGATACGACATAGCGAATAGGGTATCGCGTGTGTGGTATGGTTGCAGGGAATATTCTTGTGTGACATGTTGGGAAACAAGTAAACTAAAATTGAAAAATTCAAACTTCAAGCTCCGAAGATTGAATATTTCCAGACATTTATTTCCATCTTACAAACTTTATATTTCTAAAATGATCTCTGTTGTAAAATTTTGCTTTACTTTAAAATTGTACAATGGTATAGATTGTTTTCTAATATATTAAAATGTTATTACAGACTACATTATCTATTTTTAATTATTTATTCAGATTTAACAAACTTAATATTTAATAAATTCACATTTCCTTTGTTACAAATTTTATTATAAATATGTAATTTATTTGAGAATGTATGTACAGATAGAAACTTGTTTTTAATATATTATAATAATTTTATAGATTTTATAGGACGGATTATTTGTCTTCAAGTACTTTACTCAAATGTTTATTCATATTTTGGAAACATTATATTTTTTCTATTACAAATTTGATCTTCACTTTCATCATTCCTATTTCATATTTATAAAATTTAAAACTTTTTCTATAACAAAATCAATTTGTACCTTATTTAAAAAATATACACTCACACAAACTGTTCTTTAATATATTAAAATATTATTATTATGGGATAAATCATATAATATGTGAGAAATTATATTTTCATTGATCCTCTTAAAGCAAATATACAAATGACCCTTATACTTTTTATATGGACGATATTTGCATAAAAATAAGCAAACAAATAATAATAAAAAAATTCCTTTGCTCATCTTACAGCATTATTTGTAGCGAATAAAATTCTTCTCCTGCGAAGAGGTTGCTGTTCTCTGTTATTTTCCAATATATTCTTCCATTTCGCATCATAAAGGTTTCTAAATGCATCTATCTACAGCAGACACAAGAGATAACGCGTTATGTATACTAAGAAACCGCTTAGATAGAAATACCTGACGAGCGGATATTTTCGTGATAACCGTGGAAATAATCCAAATAACACATTCGCTGTATGGTGGAGTGGTGAGAGAACCTTGATAAGTATAGTAACCATTTGCTTTGCACACTTCTAACAACCACAGTAGACAATCTGTTGACGAAAAATTTTGTAAATTTTATTTAAGAAAAATAAATAAATTATTGACATAGTGACCTGAAAAATTAGCCCTTTGAACTCGAGAGGCGCCTCTCAGTCGCCATTTAATCAGATTCTAAAGATAAATGTTAACTAATATATCAAATTTACAATTACCCAACAATGCGTGGAATATCGAAGTAAAATAATTCTACGTCTTAATTTGCATACGATTTCTTATTTACCGTTTTAGAAATATCGTCGACTTTATGGCGGAAAATTTTCGAATTACTATTTTCCTGTAACGAAAAGATCGCCGAGTGCAAAGGGTTAAAAAGTGTGTAATGTCTTTTACCTTAATATTAACCCTTTGCACTCGACGACTTTTTGGCTAGAGAAAAGTAGAAAATCAAAGATTCCCTACTAAAAAACTGACGATACTTTTTTGAGCAGTAAATAAAGAATTGTATAATAATAGAATTGTAGAATTGTTTGATTTCGATACATCGTACACTGTTACATTATATTAAATTTGATACATTAATTAATATCGATCTTCCAAATTTTATGAAATGGTGACTGAAGCTCACCTTTCGAGTGCAAAGGGTCAATTTATATGAATTCGAATTAAATTATATTTATAATTTACATTAAGAATAGCTTTCTTTTAAGGAATTGAACCTTTCAATTATAAGTATGAGTATGGTACACGCATCTTTTTAAATAAATTGTTAAGTGGCTTTTTAAAATGAATTAATAAATGTTGCTTAATAAATACTGTTTATACGTCAACATACAAGATACAGAAATTGTTTATTTCGAATTTAAGCGAATAATAGAATTTAATTTAACTCTGGTGCTGTTTCAATACTGAAACAACACAACGCTGTCACAAACACATGACTTCTACTGCAGATTTTAGTCAAATGTCGAGTAATTTCAATTCTACATTCCTTCCCTTCACTGCATTTGACATCGATGTTTTGTATTTTCGTATTATCCAAGACAAAAATTAAATTTCTTTAAATAATCAGCGAAAATTGAACGTGATAACGTATAATTGACGTAAGTGATACAATTGATAATTAATTGATGCAATTCATCAGAACAATTACATTAAAACGAAACGAAGTATAATTAATTACGAAAGCAGTCATAAGAGAAGATTAAAAAATAATTATTTTTATTTAGAAATAATTATAGGAAATATATGACACTATAATAGGTCAATGTTAAGAAGACAATTAATTTTTGCAGTATATTAATAAATTTTTTATGAATAGAAGTTGAGCAAAAGATAAATTATTTCAATTAATATCAAATAAATTAATGAAATGTCTGTTTCTAGAAAAATACTTTTGAATATAAAATTTATTTAGCAGAAAATATTTTTATATATATTTCGTAAAACCGTAATTTCATACATATTTAATTAAACCACTAATCCAATATAAAGTTCCTTCAATATGAAAAGTAGCACACGTTCTACCGTATCGGAAACCACTAAATGGAAGCCAATCGAATCAAAGTATAAAGTTTCACCACGTTCTGCTTATTTTCTGAATTTTACCCCTATGAATTATTACATTTATTAAAGTTATATTTATGCGGATTTTTCAAGTGGTAAGTTCTGCTACGGAAATTGAGATAATGGAATCTTCAAAGAAATTCATTAATTTGAAATAACTTGTATTTTTAAGCAAAAATATAAATCTTCTATATTATATTATTTGTATCAATTTATGTTATGTTATTTATTTTATAATTTATTTTAATTCACACTATATTATTCATATCATTATTAATACTACTTTGTACTATATTATTAATATTAGTATATATTATATTATATTATATTATACAA